AGATGCACCACCGATAGATTTTGCCACCTGTGCGCCATTCCCACACCCCCTCTCTCCACTTTCGACTGTGCCAACCGAAGCAGACCCACAGTCCATCGCTTTTACAAACGTGGCACGCGCTCACAACATTTTGGGGGTACACGCAAGCCCCTGCCGTGTTTAACACGCGCACACGTTCCACTCGTTACTTAACGCATGCGTGTATGCATAACTACGCTCTAGCACAGTGGGCTACGTACGGTGCGAAGGAAGTTCAACACACACGTACACTCTGCAGCGTTGTGGGGGGGGGGGGGGGGCAGTGGTGAGCGCACACCGCGTTGTGAAACCGAGCCACCCGAGTTCGATTCCAGGCCACGGCTGACCATCAGTGGCGCGAGTGATGTCTAAACCGGCCCTCCCGGTCACCTGCCACAGCCCACTTTACTCACCCTTCGCCAAACCGCATTGACCAGCGCGGTGAAGTATGGTCAAACAGTTCCACCGTGACTGGCATGGCGCGGCGCGGCGAGGCCTCCATCTCGACGTGTTGGATTGGCAAAGGGCTGTATACCGTGAACTGTTGAAAAGATTATGCGCGTGGGTACACTGGACAATTGATTGGAAGTGGACCAATGTAAGCTGCAAATTCCGCGAAATTTTAGTGGCGTCTATCCTAATCGCGACGCCAGATATTTGTTTCCCACCATGAATTTTTTTTAAAAAAATCACCGAATGTAATTACTCACTCACAGGGGCAAGGCGAGGCCAGGCCACATCGTCGTCTTACATTCGATAGCGGCTGTTGCTGTTCTATCTCTGTGTCAGATGCCCCTTTGTTGCTGAGCAGCCAACGGGGGGGCTTGCAGGCTTGCAGCGTACATTAAAGTTGCGAACCGCATTGTGGCCTCCCGCTCGGCGCCCGTGATACGCGCGTCGCCGTCGCCGGCGAACCGAGTAATTCGCCTCCCCCGTGGCGAGCGCGAAGCCGAGGCCCACGGAAAGCCGCCCGAAACGTCGGTCCGTAAAGCGACGGGCGGCGGCGGGGTGGGGGGGGGTTTAACGCGTTGCGCGCGCGCGCATTGCGAGTGCCACATAGAAGCGAAATAATCGCACACCTGTACACACACAATATATATTCCGATGCGTATATAACACTCGCATTTATCATCCTCATAATCATAAAACCCGGGACGCGTTTATTTTAACACATACTCGCATGTATATATATAGAGATACGTAACACATACATGCATGCATACATACAAAGATCCCGTCGTGTAGCCTTAGCAGACTGTTGGGGCAAGTGCTGTTGGCGAGCACCTGTGAAGGCCGGCACGGAACACGAGGGGGTGGGTGGCGAACACCACGCCCGGCCGCCTTTGTCTCCCCAGCGGTGATATTTACACGAGGTAATCATTTTGAGGCTGAGTCGACCTACGAGATGCCCATGACCGATTCAGACAATCGTCACTGGTCGTTGGCCGTGAGCGGCAATCGATCTCGGCTTGCCCGGTTTTTTTTTATCCCAGCGCGCACACATCGCTGCACTACACGTATAGGAATCCGTACACGAACACACACACGTAAATATACACACCCCCAGCACACACATTCAACGCGACAAAATTATTCTGTGTTGAACTGAACTAGTGCGGGAAGCGTTGTTAGCGAGCACCTATTATTAAGGCCGGGGTGGTGGTTTTTGTTTTGTTTGCCGGCACCTTTAACCCACGCCGGGGCCGCCTTTGTCTCTCTCGTGCAGACGCTCATCATCACGCCGCACCAGTCACCTATTTCAGGCCGAGTCGACCTAGGCGACGGCCAGGTCAGGGGCCAAGTTCCGCTTGGGCATCCACGTTGGTGCGCCAACCACCGGTACGATATTCCAGGACAGTAGTAGTTGCGTTTCTGTTACCGCGTCTTTATGAGATTGTATTTACATGATCGTTATAAAAAGCACACGCGCAAACATTACAATATAATGCATACTGAAGTGGTGACGAATGGGCACGTTTTTATTGGGGTTTTTTTCACGCGGCAAATCCTTACTAATTGTCTGTGCCGGGTGGTGGCGGGTTCAACGACACATTTATCTTCATTGCGATCTAACCCCCACCCCCCCAAAAAAACACACCTTTGGTGCGTGGATAATATTGGTAAGCAGACGCCTACTGCTTGTTTATGTTTGCAAAACGCGACTTTTACAACAACAAATTTTTTTTTATTTAAAGCTTTCGTGACTGCAGGGGTTCATATTCTTGGTTCTTTCGGTAAAGTCACCACGTAGAGAAGGGAAACAATAAAATAATAAAAAATATATATTGTTTTATATTTTTATTATTTCATAAAAAAAATATATTGCTTTATATTTGTATTATTTCATAAAAAATATATTGTTTTATATGTTTTATTATTTTATTGTTTCCCTTCTACGTGACTTTACCGAAAGAACCAAGAATAACAACAAATTGATTTGACTCTTCCCTCTGCTCGCTACCATCCAACTCCTTCCCTGCCGCTCCTCGACCCCTTCGTGATCGCGGTCACTCATTCCTCTATCCGTGCACTCTCCACCGTATTCTGAATCTTCACATTCTGTCATCGGTGACCCACCCCCCGTTAACTCTGTCAAGCGTCTTGAGTGAAGCCGCACTCAGACGAATATGACATTAAATGAGGTTACACATAGAAGCTAAACGCCAATTAGTTGCTACTTCACACCGGGGGCAGGTGGCTTGCTTCACTATTCCTGTAAATCGCCCCATGACGCTGGTTGATGTGATCACCAGCGAAACGTCGTACTGCTCAAATTGTAAATGCTGCGGATTTACTCTCCAACGCAGCGGTGGTGCCGAAGTGCTAACTAATTGGTCGTTTTGTTTACGTGACAAATCCCTTACTAAATTGGCTGCGTCGGGTGGCGGAGGGTTACGACACATTTATACGAACGCGATATAACCCCCCCCCCCCCCCCCAAAAAAAAAAAACCTTTATTGTGAATAATATTGTTCGCGAAAGTCTGCTACGTGTTGAACTGAGATTACACGACCCTAATCGGCGCCACCGTCGTCTGGGAGTACGTACACTAACTCAAGTTTCATTTTGCCAAGTAAAGCCCACTGAACTGTGATCTATTCCCCAGAGGCGACCTGGCCACACATGCTGATAGCTCATCGACCAAGTGGATTATATCATCATCCATCATCATCACGGTTATCATCGCGTGGGAGTTTGTAGTAGCGGGGGGCGGGGGGGGGCAAACCCCGAAGGAACCCGGAGAACAATCCACGCGACCACCACGTGGAGACGGAGACACTCAGGGAGAGAGAAAATAACACGTGGAGAACTCCAAATTTACAACATCAGGCGTCGTCAGGGTCCAGGATCGAACCCACGGTCTCTCCTGCGTATCAGGCGTGGGAGTTAGCATCTCCTCGCCACGGCAGCATTGATGCAGTATAAACAAAACTCTGGAGATGTTTCGAGACGCAGTGCCTCGTCAACGAGAGCGAGGCTTGTTTAAATCAATTTTACTGGACGTCTGTTTTTTTAAAAAAAGGAGCTTTATAGCTCATCGGATTCCTCCAGAACAGATAAAGGATTCTGATTCTGAATGGCGGTGCACGACCAGATGTTATCATCTTCGGAACTCAGAAGGCCGAGGAAAGGCAGTCGAATGGGAGCTTCAGGGTTACCCTTGTTCAGTTTTTAGCCAATTAAAGGGATAACCGTAGAACAAAGACAAAGAGCCCCCGTATAGCCTTAGCATACTGTTGGGGGCAAGTGCTGTTAGTGAGCACCTATGAAGGCCGGCACGCCACACGAGGGGGTGGGTGGCCAACATTACACCCGGCCGCCTTTGTCTCCCGAGTTGCGATGTTTACACATCGCACCAGGTGCTCATTTGAGGCTTAGTCTACGTAGGGGAGGCCCCGGGACCGGTTCAAACAATCGTCAGTGGTGGTGTTGGGCGTGAGTTGGAATCGAACTCAGGTCGCCAGGTTCGTAGTGCAACGCGCTAAGCGTTACGCTGTCGTTTCCGCACACACACACACACACGGACATCTCCGACTAGCCAAACAGAATGTGGGGGGCTATCGCTGTTAGCGAGCACTCATTAAGGTCGCCACCAATGATAACAAAACATTACCCGTGCAGCCTAAAGCATCGTCTTAAGATTCAGTTGCACTCAGACGCAGTATCGATCGAAATTGTATTGTATGAAGCGGCGCTTGTGCCAGACTAGGTGCGCTTTGAGGCCACGTGAAGTGTTCGAGATTTCGCTGGCAGGAGGTCACGGGACAGACCCCCCCCTCCCCCCCCCCCCACGTGGTCTGTGTCGAACACAGCTTCCCCTCGAGTCGCAGTGGTGGTGTTCGTGCCAGGCTAGGTGCAGTTGTCATCACGTTTGTGTTACACACACACACACCGACCTCGCGTATAATCTTATATACTCTATAGGCTATTGTACATCTAGCGAGCACGACCGCCTTTGTATCCCGAGTGCTGACATTTTGACCGAATCCGAGTCTTTATGTAGACTGGAGGAATCAGATGAGCTATGAAGCTCTTTTTATTCAACTGGGCGTGCGCGGGTCAGCGAGTTACAAGCAGACAGCGCACAAGGAGCACACTCATCCAAGTCTGAGTCGTCCTTAGCCGGCAGGGGTGGGGAACGTCCAACCCGCTGGCCGTATCAGGCCCGAGAAATCATTTGGTCTGTTCCAGCCATCACATTAGGGGTGAGTTAATGAAATGTTTGACCAAATATAACGGGCTAATTTTTAAGTTGAAGATTTTGTATGGCCCACGAATGATGATGTTATAAATATCCAAATGGCCCTTGGCAGAAAAAAAAATGTTCCCCACCCCTGCGCCTAAGAGAAGGAAGACTCCGAACGGGAATTGACACCACTCCCCACCGATGTCGTGCCCGTGGCCGGGAATCGAACTCGGGCCACACACACACACACCTGAGCGCGAGTGTGCGCGTGTAGATAATATAGACGCGTTCGCACCTCCATTTGCCGGTTGTCCCGCCTTCTTGGCCCACTCGAATGCACCTCCTTTCTGGAGACCAACTCCAAGATGCCCGATTCCTACACCACCAACACCACCGCCACCACCGCCACCACCTCCACCGCCTCCACCGCCTCCACCGCCGCCGCCACCACCACCACCGCCAGGTCCGCCGGGCCCCAGGGAGGGCATCACGGAGCCACCGGGAGTCTGCACGGGCCCGAAGTCGGCGGAGGGCGAGTAGAAGACCTGGCCCGAGTGGAGCGACGTGGGGATCGTGCCCGGTGGTGCCAGCGCGAATCCGTGCCAGTCGTCGCGCGGCTGAGCCACGTAGGGGTGAGGCCACGAGGTGGACTGCAAGCCGTGGTGGTCGCCGGGAGCTGTGTGGTAGCCGGGCGGATAGTCCGTGTGGTGGTGGTGGTGGGGGTGGTACTGTGGTGGGACCCCGAAGTTGGTCGGAGGGCCCAGGTTGATGTTGGGTGGCCGCGAACTCGCGAACATCGGCGGCGTGGCACCGTTCGGGTCCTTCTCCTGCAGCCGGTAGTTGATGTACATTGTCACTTGTTTGTTGTTGTTGGTGGTGGTTGTAGTTGGTTGTTGTTGTTGTAAAAATGGCTCTTTTTGGAAAGTTGGTGTGAGATTGATTGGAGGTGCTGCTGCTGCTGCTAAACCAAGCAACTTTGGGAAATAAGTTTATATCAGACTCTGTTGTTGTTGTTGTTGATTTGTTGTTGTTGATTTGTTGTTGTTGATTGTTGTTTAAGCAAAAACGACAATTTCGTTGTGCAGAACTGTATCTGACACTTGATGCCGATGGTGAATGATGGCGATCGTCTCCTATTAGACGCCGGAAACTTGCACAGCAGTTAGCATCACACTCGGAACACCTCAAGCTGCGTGTTGCCGCGTCAACCACGCGCGTTGTTGTTGTTGTTGTTGTGGCTGTTGTTGTTGCTGTTGTTGTTGTTGAATACAATGCTCTCGTCCAAGCCTTGGCAATAGACAGCGGTGGTTGCAGTCGATGTGAAGGCACACCAACAATCGCCGTTTAGGAATTATTGTTGTTGTTGTTGTTGATAATGATGATTATTATTATTATTTACGAAAACGTTCCCACGTCAAAGCGTCCACCACGTCTACCCGTCACTCTAAATCCTGCCCGTGGGTATCTCCCGCAGAGGTGGAAGAGGGGGGGGTGGTGATACCCCGGGTGTCTGTCCCACGTTGGTCTCTACCCGGGCCTCCTCCTCCTCCTCCTCCTTGAGCCCGCAGCGAACAATGACGCACCGACCAAAGCAGCCGTACTCCTCGCGACAACTGTCAAAAATGTGTCAGCCTATTGAGCTGTTATGACAAACGCGCACGCGCACACGCACGCACGCGCACGCGCACACACACACACGTATATTTCTCAACAAGCGTATCAACGGCGCAATACACCCGTGTATGTGTGTGTGTGTGTACGTGTTTGTGCGTGCGTGCGTACGCGCGTGTGTGTGTGTGTATATATAAAAAGAAGTGAAGATTACAGAGTGCCGGCCCAATAACATCGCCTCCCTTCGACGTGACTTTAAAACGAACCTGTTGGCGATCGTTGCGCGAGATAAGGCGCTGTAATTATTAACGGAACTATACGACCGCCAGCGGGCAATCATTGAGCGCTCGGCTTGCACGGATAGGTGCGACGTGACGTGGGCTATCGGGGCGTAGGGGGCTGTTAGAGGAACGATATTGCCACGTGGGGGTGTGGGGGGTGGCTTCGAAGGGGGGGGGGGGATGGGGGGGAGTCTTGGGGAGGGAGGGAGGGAGGTGGACCGCGCGGTTCTCTTCACAGGAGATGCGTCGGGGCGGTCGAAGCATCTGAAACACGGCAGCGACCTGGAGTTCAACTCTGATGCGTGTGTGTGTCTCTGTGTGTGTGTCTGTGTGTGTGTCTGTGTGTGTGTCTCTGTGTGTGTGTCTGTGTGTGTGTCTGTCTCTGTGTGTGTGTGTCTGTGTGTGTGTCTGTGTGTGTGTGTCTGTGTGTGTATCTGTGTGTGTGTCTCTGTGTGTGTGTGTGTCTCTGTGTGTGTGTCTGTGTGTGTCTCTGTGTGTGTCTCTGTGTGTGTGTCTGTGTGTCTGTGTGTGTCTCTGTGTGTGTGTCTCTGTGTGTGTCTCTGTGTGTGTCTGTGTGTGTCTCTGTGTGTGTCTGTGTGTGTCTCTGTGTGTGTCTCTGTGTGTGTCTGTGTGTGTCTGTGTGTGTGTCTGTGTGTGTCTCTGTGTGTGTCTCTGTGTGTGTCTCTGTGTGTGTGTATATGTGTGTGTGTGTCTGTGTGTGTCTCTGTGTGTGTCTGTGTGTGTCTGTGTGTGTGTCTGTGTGTGTCTCTGTGTGTGTCTGTGTGTGTCTGTGTGTGTGTCTGTGTGTGTCTGTGTGTGTGTCTCTGTGTGTGCGTATCTGTGTGTCTGTCTGTCTGTGTGTATCTGTGTGTGTGTCTCTGTGTGTGTCTGTGTGTGTCTGTGTGTGTGTCTGTGTGTGTCTCTGTGTGTGTCTCTGTGTGTGTCTCTGTGTGTGTGTATATGTGTGTGTGTGTCTGTGTGTGTCTCTGTGTGTGTCTGTGTGTGTCTGTGTGTGTGTCTGTGTGTGTCTCTGTGTGTGTCTGTGTGTGTCTGTGTGTGTGTCTGTGTGTGTCTGTGTGTGTGTCTCTGTGTGTGCGTATCTGTGTGTCTGTCTGTCTGTGTGTATCTGTGTGTGTGTCTCTGTGTGTGTGTCTGTGTGTGTATCTGTATGTGTGTCTCTGTGTGTGTGTGTGTCTCTGTGTGTGTGTCTGTGTGTGTCTCTGTGTGTGTCTCTGTGTGTGTGTCTGTGTGTCTGTGTGTGTCTCTGTGTGTGTGTCTCTGTGTGTGTCTCTGTGTGTGTCTGTGTGTGTCTCTGTGTGTGTCTGTGTGTGTCTCTGTGTGTGTCTCTGTGTGTGTCTGTGTGTGTCTGTGTGTGTGTCTGTGTGTGTCTCTGTGTGTGTCTCTGTGTGTGTCTCTGTGTGTGTGTATATGTGTGTGTGTGTCTGTGTGTGTCTCTGTGTGTGTCTGTGTGTGTCTGTGTGTGTGTCTGTGTGTGTCTCTGTGTGTGTCTGTGTGTGTCTGTGTGTGTGTCTGTGTGTGTCTGTGTGTGTGTCTCTGTGTGTGCGTATCTGTGTGTCTGTCTGTCTGTGTGTATCTGTGTGTGTGTCTCTGTGTGTGTCTGTGTGTGTCTGTGTGTGTGTCTGTGTGTGTCTCTGTGTGTGTCTCTGTGTGTGTCTCTGTGTGTGTGTATATGTGTGTGTGTGTCTGTGTGTGTCTCTGTGTGTGTCTGTGTGTGTCTGTGTGTGTGTCTGTGTGTGTCTCTGTGTGTGTCTGTGTGTGTCTGTGTGTGTGTCTGTGTGTGTCTGTGTGTGTGTCTCTGTGTGTGCGTATCTGTGTGTCTGTCTGTCTGTGTGTATCTGTGTGTGTGTCTCTGTGTGTGTGTCTGTGTGTGTATCTGTATGTGTGTCTCTGTGTGTGTGTCTGTGTGTGTCTGTGTGTGTGTGTCTGTGTGTGTGTCTCTATGTGTGTGTGTGTCTGTGTGTGTCTGTGTGTGTGTCTGTGTGTGTGTGTCTGTGTGTGTCTCTATGTGTGTGTCTGTGTGTATATGTGTGTGTCTGTGTGTGTGTCTGTGTGTGTGTCTGTGTGTGTCTCTGTGTGTGTGTCTGTGTGTGTGTCTGTGTGTGTGTCTGTGTGTGTGTGTCTGTGTGTGTGTATCTGTGTGTCTGTCTGTGTGTGTGTATCTGTGTGTGTGTCTCTGTGTGTGTGTCTGTGTGTGTATCTGTGTGTGTGTCTCTGTGTGTGTCTGTGTGTGTGTCTGTGTGTGTGTCTGTGTGTGTGTCTCTATGTGTGTGTGTGTGTGTCAGTGTGTGTGTGTCAGTGTGTGTGTGTCAGTGTGTGTGTGTCAGTGTGTGTGTGTCTGTGTGTGTCTGTGTGTGTCTCTGTGTGTGTCTCTGTGTGTGTGTCTCTGTGTGTGTGTCTGTGTGTGTCTGTGTGTGTGTCTGTGTGTGTGTGTGTGTCTGTGTGTGTGTCTGTGTGTGTCTGTGTGTGTGTCTGTGTGTGTGTCTCTGTGTGTGCGTCTGTGTGTATATGTGTGTGTGTCTGTGTGTGTGTCTCTGTGTGTGTGTGTCTGTGTGTATATGTGTATGTGTCTGTGTGTCTGTGTCTGTGTGTGTGTCTCTGTGTGTGTGTGTCTGTGTGTGTCTCTGTGTGTGTGTCTGTGTGTGTGTCTGTGTGTGTGTGTGTCTGTGTGTGTCTGTGTTTGTGTCTGTGTGTGTGTGTCTGTGTGTGTGTGTCTGTGTGTGTGTGTGTAAGTGTGTGTGTCTGTGTGTGTGTCTGTGTGTGTGTGTAAGTGTGTGTGTGTCTGTGTGTGGGTGGGGAGCGATAGTGTAGCGGTTAGCGCGCTGCGCTATGAACCCGGCGACACGGGTTCAATTCCCGCTCACGGCCAACACCAGTGACGATTTTCTGAACCGGTCCCGGGCCTCCCCTAGGTCGACTCAGCCTCAAATGATACCTGGTGCGGTGTGTAAACATTGCCACTAGGGAGACAAAGGCGGTCGGGCGTGGTGCTGGCCACCCACCCCCTCGTGTACCGTTACCGGCCTTCATAGGTGCTCGCTAACAGCACTTGCCCCTACAGTCTGTTAAGGCTATATGGGGGATCTTTGTTTGTTTTTGTCTGTGTGTCTCTGTGTGTGTGTGTGTGTGTCTGTGTCTGTGTGTGTCTCTGTGTGTGTGTCTGTGTGTGTGTGTGTCTGTGTGTGTGTCTGTGTGTGTCTCTGTGTGTGTGTGTCTGTGTGTGTGTGTCTGTGTGTGTGTGTCTGTGTGTGTGTGTGTGTCTGTGTGTGTGTGTCTGTGTGTGTGTGTCTGTGTGTGTGTGTCTGTGTGTGTGTGTCTGTGTGTGTGTGTCTGTGTGTGTGTGTGTGTGTCTGTGTGTGTGTGTGTCTGTGTGTGTGTGTGTCTGTGTGTGTGTGTGTCTGTGTGTGTGTGTGTGTGTCTGTGTGTGTGTCTGTGTGTGTGTGTGTGTGTGTCTGTGTGTGTGTGTGTCTGTGTGTGTGTGTGTCTGTGTGTGTGTGTGTCTGTGTGTGTGTGTGTGTCTGTGTGTGTGTGTGTGTCTGTGTGTGTGTGTGTGTCTGTGTGTGTGTGTGTGTCTGTGTGTGTGTGTGTGTCTGTGTGTGTGTGTGTGTCTGTGTGTGTGTGTGTGTCTGTGTGTGTGTGTGTGTCTGTGTGTGTGTGTGTGTCTGTGTGTGTGTGTGTGTCTGTGTGTGTGTGTGTGTCTGTGTGTGTGTGTGTGTCTGTGTGTGTGTGTGTGTCTGTGTGTGTGTGTGTGTCTGTGTGTGTGTGTGTGTCTGTGTGTGTGTGTGTGTCTGTGTGTGTGTGTGTGTCTGTGTGTGTGTGTGTGTCTGTGTGTGTGTGTGTGTCTGTGTGTGTGTGTGTGTCTGTGTGTGTGTGTGTGTCTGTGTGTGTGTGTGTGTCTGTGTGTGTGTGTGTGTCTGTGTGTGTGTGTGTGTCTGTGTGTGTGTGTGTGTCTGTGTGTGTGTGTGTGTCTGTGTGTGTGTGTGTGTCTGTGTGTGTGTGTGTGTCTGTGTGTGTGTGTGTGTCTGTGTGTGTGTGTGTGTCTGTGTGTGTGTGTGTGTCTGTGTGTGTGTGTGTGTCTGTGTGTGTGTGTGTGTCTGTGTGTGTGTGTGTGTCTGTGTGTGTGTGTGTGTCTGTGTGTGTGTGTGTGTCTGTGTGTGTGTGTGTGTCTGTGTGTGTGTGTGTGTCTGTGTGTGTGTGTGTGTCTGTGTGTGTGTGTGTGTCTGTGTGTGTGTGTGTGTCTGTGTGTGTGTGTGTGTCTGTGTGTGTGTGTGTGTCTGTGTGTGTGTGTGTGTCTGTGTGTGTGTGTGTGTCTGTGTGTGTGTGTGTGTCTGTGTGTGTGTGTGTGTCTGTGTGTGTGTGTGTGTCTGTGTGTGTGTGTGTGTCTGTGTGTGTGTGTGTGTCTGTGTGTGTGTGTGTGTCTGTGTGTGTGTGTGTGTCTGTGTGTGTGTGTGTGTCTGTGTGTGTGTGTGTGTCTGTGTGTGTGTGTGTGTCTGTGTGTGTGTGTGTGTCTGTGTGTGTGTGTGTGTCTGTGTGTGTGTGTGTGTCTGTGTGTGTGTGTGTGTCTGTGTGTGTGTGTGTGTCTGTGTGTGTGTGTGTG